CTCACACCTGCTGTGATCCCTATGTATCGACTAGGTAGACGGAGTAATCCATAGTCATATTTGGTACAAGAGGCCCACGACGCTCACGTCAGTCACTATGACGTGCTTTTTCTTCTTCAGCAGATTTTTTCCTATTATTTCTATGTAAAACTTTGATCGCCTATTGTGGTCCCACCATACCTTCGTTGATCATTATATGTACACATTATAATAAAGCTTTCACATAAGTTTGAACTCTTCTGGTCCAATGATTCTTGAAAAGATGTTTACAGTTTTTGATATATATATATATATATATATATATATATATATATATATATATATATATATATATATATATATATATATATATATATATATATATATAGATTCCTGTATAAAACTTTGAGCGTTTATTGTATGTAATGATGAAGCTTTCACATAGTTTTCAAATTTTCTGGCATAATGGTTCTTCAGAAGATCTCCGAAAGAATTTTCGCTCATTCTTAATTCTCTCCTTCAAAGAGGAATTGACCCTTCATTTGAACAAACTTGAATTATCTGCCCCAAGGATGCTTTGTGACAAGTTTGATTGAAATCGATCCAGTGGTTCTTGAGAAGGAGTTAACAATGTGAAACGGTTACAACGGACGGACAGACGGAAGCCAGACAAAATGTGATCAGAAAAACTCACTTGTTGAAATTCTTATAATATCACCTTATTTTTTGAAGCCCGATCGTTATCTTCACCTTTTTCATTTAAGAAAAGATTGTATTCAGAGTATGTCCTTGAGTATGGAATCAGTCGGGGGAAATAAACACCATCAGCAGATGATAGCGGAATAAAGGTTTTACTACATAAATAATGGAAGTAAAAGATAGAAAGTCTGAACTCATCCCATATTCTCATACAACCAAGCTTTATGATAAACGTGATGACTTCAACTTTTCAATCGTCAACTTCCCTTACTTATGCAGCAATATACCTTCATCACCTGCATACGGGGTATATATCTCTCAGTTGATTCGATACGCAAGAGCATGCTCTACGTATGTACATTTTCTAAAACGAGGTAAATTTTCTTGCTTGTAAATACTAAAAATATATCTATAATATAAAACAGCACTTATATACATGTATACATATAACTTTTTATAACTTCAAAGAGCTGGATAAAAATATCACTACCTTATTTACAAAAAAGTTAGAATACATTGCCCAAATTGGTTATTTGTGCAGTTTTGCAACGCACTTTGAAAAATTACGCTCTTTGAATTTTTTTCAAAGTGCGCTAAATCTTGGACCCAGTTAACGCACTTAGTTAGCGCGTTAATATCGACCAAAAAATGTTCACTGTTACAACGCACTTTGAAAAATTACTTCGAAAAAAAATTTCAAAATGCGTTAAATTTGGGACCAAGTTAACGCGCTTTGAAAAAAATATATATCTTTTCAAAGTGCGTTAATATCGACCATAGTAACGCACTTTGAAAAAAATAAATGTGGCTTGGTCAATATTCTTGCAAATTTTAGGCATGATAAATAATTATTTGAATCTAGTTGGATAACTTTTCGGTGACACTTTTCGGTCACTTCAGAATTTGAGATATAGACGTTTTAAAGATTTTTAGGGGTTCTCTTGTTCCCAAAGGTTCTCGTAAATGTTATAAAGGGAAATGGGTCTTTTAAAAATAATGGAGGAATGATTGTTTAACAGCACAATTTCGTTTCTTTTTTAATTTTATCAAGTCTGTAATAAGTTCGGTAGATGTAGGGGTTGATAAGTGACTTAAAGCATCGCTTTTTTAGGAAAAGGGAGCAATTATGATTTTATTCTCTCTCTCTCTCTCTCTCTCTCTCATATTCATCTATCTATCTATTGATTAGTAGTATGAGGTATGAAAAAAATATTTATGCATTTATACAAGTCTTTTTTTACTTGTATTTGGTTTTGTAAAGCTACTTTGGCCAAAGTATAGTCAGTTGGCTATTGTTGCTTAGATCAGCGATATAGTCCCTGAGCATCTCTTCCTTGATATAATAGAGTGCGTTTTTTCCTCAGGAACGATTGTCTCATTTTTTTTTATCTATTGTACGTAAACTCAAATTTATTAAGAGAAAGTATATCAATACCAGTTATGTAAATACATATGTTTGGGTAGGAAAGATAAAGAGTTGGGCTGAAGGACATTCTACCTGTCTGCTCCTCGTTCTCGATGAGGGTAGATCAATTCATAAGTATAACAAAATAATGCTCTCTATTACTAAAATCTAAGTCCAGAAGTTTTGTTTTATACATATTTTTTCAAAGTGCATTAAGTGCCTCCATGGTAAAAAATGTTGATGTACACTCTTAACGCACTTTTAAAAAAAATTTCAAAGTGCATTGATTTTTGTCCCAAGTTTAACACACTTTGAAAAAATTTCAAAGTGCGTTGTTTTTGTCCCAAATTTAACGCACTTTGAAATTTTTTTCAAAGTGCGTATTTTTTTCGAAGTGCGTTGCTACAAAGCACAGTAGGCAACCACTATTTCAAAATCTGACAAAAAATAATCTTTGAAAATTAAACATATATATTTAAGGAATGGATCTGATAGCCACCTAATTTATACAGTATAAAGTGGGTTGTTGAAGTTTACGCTTTATAAACTGAGAAGCGGTTTATAAAAAGCGTAAATCTCGAAGACGTTTTCTCAGTCAACAACATAAGTTAATTCGATGTATTCAATTGGACGCTAAATAAAGGACACCGTAGAGTCTGGTACATCCATTTCATATTCATATGTTTTCCTAAATAAAGAGATTGATGGAAAACTAACAATAACAAAAGTTTATGATAAACGTGATGACTTGAACTTATCTACCGTCAACTTCTCTAATTTATGAAGCATTATACCCTTATCAGGTTGGGGGGAAACGTAAATTCCGCTATAATAGTGGTATATCACTATTATAGTGAGATTCCGCTATATTTTCAGCCGTAGTTACCCTCGATTTCATCAAATAACATATTTGCTGATTAAAGCCCAAGTTATGATCGGTATAAAAATGGACAATAATTTGAATCCTTGCATGTTATGAATTTTATTTAATTTTCTGCCGATGCGTTTAATAATACGAACATACTTTTAAAGCGGAAGTTACATTTTTAACATAGCAACCAGTGATTGCGGTAGTATTGAACAAAGACTGACTCTTAATATCTCTTACACGTGTGCACAAATTAGTGCTTGTAATAACTTTGAACCCATGTTGAAATACGTTTGTCGAATTTACAGAAGAAAAGATGACTTTTGCCTGTATGGTAACGGGTATGGAGGCCCGTTGTGTCAAACGAAAAAAGCTCATTGCATGTTCACTTTATTCTGATGAAACCGATTTGTATTGTTTAATTGCAATAAATCGTAAACAATGATGTAAGATGTCATTTCTGCAGGTAATTACAAACACAGTAATCAATCTCAAAAGTCCATTGAAACAATGAAAAATTAAACAGAGCAAACACGGACCCCTAAAAACATCAGAGGTGGGATCAGGTGCCATGGAGGAGTGAGCATCCTCTACCGACCGGTCACACCCGCCGTGTGCTCCTTGTCATGATCGTGAAAAAACCATAGACAATTCAATGTGTAAATAATGGCTTATGTGTACTTAAAAAAGCAGGCTTAATATTTTAGCGACTGTGGCGCAGACAACGATGCACTAATTCATGATAACCATTAACAAATGAATTTCGCAAAATCCATGATCGACAGGGGATGCCTACTCCTCCATAGCACCTGATCCTACCTTTTCGCTCTGCGAAAAATTTTATTGTTCAAATGGTCTTTTTCGTTATCTTCATATTTCTGTTTCTCCTTGTATTTCGTTTATTTATACCAGAATAATCTACTTCTGGTAATTAGGATTTATTGTCTCTTTTTTAGTGCATAACGTAGTTAAATATAAAATTTTATGCAATTTATACAATCAATAAATTGTGCAGATAATCTACAGGTAATTTTCACAACTTTTTCCCTTTTCTTGCTAAGACTAATCATTTTAATTCATGGTCTCATCATCAAGAAAGGAAACATTATACATGTACCTAAGATTACATGTAAAAGTGACATATATTGCTTACGATTTAGACGACACAAATCGTTTCCAATAAAGTGAAGAGCTTTTTTTTCATTTGTCATAACGGGCCTCCATACCAGTAACTATGCAGGCAAAAAATCACCTTTTCTTCTGTAAATTCGACAAACCTATTCCAAAGTGGGTCCAAAGTTATTACAAGCACTAATTTATGCACATGTGTGAGAGATATTAAGAGTCAGTCTTTGTTCAATACTACCGCAATCACTGGTTGCTATGCTAAAAATGTAACTTCCGCTTTAAAAAGTGTGTTCGTATTATAAAAAGCATCGGCAGAAAATTAAATAAAATTCATAACAAGCAAGGATTCAAATTATTGTCTATTTTTATACCCATCATAACTTGCGCTTTAATCAGCAAATATGTTATTTGATGAAATCGAGGGTAACTACGGCTGAAAATATAGCGGAATCTCACTATAATAGTGATATACCACTATTATAGTGGAATTTACGTGTCCCCCCAACCTGCTTATCACATGCATATGGGGTTTGTGTCTCTAAGTTGATTCGATACACAAGAGGATGTTCTGTCTAAAAGGGATGCTCACTCCTCCATAGTACAAGATCCCAACTCTGCTTTCAGAGGTCTGATTTTGGTCTGCTCACAATTTGTATTGTTTAATTAGACTACTATTCATTATCTTCAGATTTCATATATGTGACTTCAGATTATGATCCGGAGATTTTTATTTCTACGTTATTGTTTCAATGATCTTAAAAAAAGAGCTTTGATCTTGGAAACACTATGACATTCATGCATAATTTAAAGATATCTTTTTATTTTTAAATATCGATTGACTTTTCTTCTTAACTTATCCTTATCAATTGAATAACTGTAGCTAATGAAACACTTTCTTTACAGTTGTCATCACAGTCATCTTATTAATGGTGGTTCCATATTCGATAATCAGACAACTGTATTGGTTCTTTCTCCGCGCATTCCCAGTTGTTTTTGCTTATTCCTACGCAGTGGATTTCATGGAATCAAAATTTCAGGACAAAGACTTCCTCAGTATGGAAATATTCAGGGATATTGGTGTTCTTTATGTCACTGGTCTGTTCTCCGATTATTTGTTTGGCGAAAAGTGTTGGACTAAAGTGTTTTTGGTGGCTTACACATTGCCACTTCTCATAAGGCAATTAGGTCTTCCTATTACTATCAACAATATTGTTCATTACATGGCAACTGAAGCAATATTTTATTATCTCATAATCAAACTAATACATATCATTCTTGTTGCCACTAATCTGCTAAATGTATGGGAAAATATCCTTGACAATTTCAGATTTAGTGCCTTTTTAAATATCATCGCATCTGATATTCGATTTTCAAAACAATTACTAGTGTACTGGTCACTGCTATTTTTATACCAATTATTCTGCAATTTGTCAGCTGTTAAAGAAATGGATTGGCCAACACTTTTCTTCGTGAGTGTCGGTGAATGCTGCACTACCCCTCTCGGAGTGATCGCGATGTGTAAATCGGTTCTGTATGCATACCAATATTTCATTGCTCTCACTAATGCCTTCATACATGGCTTGGATACCTATGGTAAGTTTAATTATAATGTGACCTGGGCACATGGCTTTTTCATACTTGCGATGTATATAAGGTCTGGATTTTTGCCATCAGCCGAACATTTGGAAAGTCCATTCAAAGGAGCATTCAGAATGAAAATTGTACTTCTTTCCACCGTCTTATTTTTTCTAAACTTGACATATTGTAACACACATCCAGTTATCATATCATTTAGTGTAGCTCCTAAGACGAAGCCATTTAAACATATCCGGGGACTTCTGACATACATTTTTATCATACTATTTTGCGCGCTTACGATGACGATGATTTATAAGTTAAGTGATGTCTCTGAGACTATCAATATTTTATCACTCTGTTTGTCAACCTGTGTCCAAGCCATGTCCTCTTTCATCATTTATATTATTTATGTATATGATGGAATATATTCGAAACCATGGGAAAGTATGGATGATGTCGTGTTTTACATTTGGTCGACTATACAACTTATAAACACTGTGCTGTCATTTGTTCTTGCTTGCACCAGTGACTTTTTTCTTTTTCAAAACTATTTCTACTGGTTAAGCCCTCTGTTGTTGGTAGGATGTTTACCCTTTTGGGAGAGATTAAAAATGCTATGGAAAAATTTACAAGTAAGGAGGAAAACTATGAAAATGATTGATTTGTTACCAAATACCACAGAGGAACAAATACAAGATTTTGATGATGTGTGTTCGATCTGTCAGTATTCGATTTCGACGGCTAAGATAACACCATGTGGTCACTTCTTTCACCAAATGTGTCTAAAAAAGTGGATGTACACCAATGATCTTTGCCCATTATGTAGACAAAGTGTAAGCTCTGATTCACCTTCCAAATCCGAAATGAACAATGAGTCTGACGTTCACTCTGAATCTGGCTTTCACTCCGAATTTGAGGCATTCAACGAATCCAGCAACCATTCAGAATCCAATTCTGAAGATGAATCCTCTATCAATTCTGAACCAAATTCGCTCGACGAATCCGATACCCCTTCTGAATCCGATTCTCTTGACTAGACAGAAAATAAATCTTAAAGTGATAATCATGGGCATGGCAGATAAAGATCTTTTTAAATAAAACATATATATATAATTTTTTTTAAGTGACAAATGTGTAAAAGATATTAATATATTCGTATTCTCAAGTGCTCCTATAGAAGTAAAATAACTATATTTTGTGTGTGTTAACATGTACAAGCATTCATGAAATTGAAGATGTCAATATGTCTTATTGTAACGTTTTCTCCTGTTTTATGGTTTGTTACCATGAATATAAATTATTGTGGGTCTCTTGTTTCTGAATTTTACCCATTTAATTCTAATAAAAAGTCAGAATGTAAATTTATAACATTTAGTAAAAATAATTGAAATAATTGATGAAAATTTATAAAAATAATGAATAACAATAAAGAACAAGAAAATTACCAATAAAAATCAATAATAAATTATGGGTACCAGAAGATCTATAAGTATATGGGTCTAAATGGGTCATCCGTATGAATACATATACATTGTACAAAAATCATATGGGAAATTGGCATCAAATTCAAGCCTTGTGCCAGTAATGGACTAGCAAAAAGGAATTGGTCTACAATTAATATAAAATCTTAAATTATAATCAAACCATCCTCTCATGATCCTGATTCTCCATCTAAATGGTCTAAGTCCAAAAATATTCAGGAAGAAAATGACAGTGACTTTATTTTTTGAGCGAGGGACGAAAAGTGACTGTTGGGTCCAAAAACGCTTTTTATATACCTGTTGATTACTAGGGCCGAATGTATCCTCGCGCGAATCGAGCGCTACTGCCCGATTTAGCGCCCTATTTGGAGAACATGAACGCTTAGCTTAGCCATAGACATATATACAGAAATATGATATCTTTAAAAATTCTAATTTCAGCGATTTTTCATTTTTATTTTCATGAGTGTATTTAGAGAGCATGAAACTAAGCGCCTACGGATATTCCTGCGTCTGATATGTAAAGAAATGAGAGAGCACAATATAATTAATTTTACAATATTTAATTATGAAGGCGATGATAAGATGACTGGGGTGGCATAAATGTAACATTGTTTTAATTAGTATGCGTTGTATATATAACCAGTAATAATAGTAATAATAAAATACAATTTTTAATGTCAAGTAGATGTACTATTAAAGTACGATTGCTAGTGTGTAAGTGTATACATTGAAACAGCCATTACAAAACATAAAATGGAAGTGAAATTAGAAGTTTTGTAAAATTGGAAGATTTTCAGTAAATGGTTAACATTTTTTTTTCTAATCGAGTACCCGGTTACTCGGAGAGTTCTTCTTTAAGAAATCTTTACAGTTTTCGTCAGGACATTCTATAATTTTTAAAAACAATTTTACTGTATTTTATTTCATGAAATATGGAGATAACGAACAGTATTCAGGCTCAAAGTCCATTAAAACAATACAAATCGGGAGCAGAGCAAACAATGACCTCCAAAAACATCAGAAGTGGGGTCAGGTGCCATGGAGGAGTGATCACCCCCTGTCGACCGATCACACCCACCGTGAGCTCCTTGTCATGATCGGCTAATAACGGAAAATTCCGTCGACAATTCATTGTGTAAATAATGGCCTAACAATTAATATGAAAAACGTCAGTCAGCGTATGACTTAATGATAAATTGTATTTGCTGACGGGGTCATTGTTTCGAACATAGAACTTACGAAATGACGACTTTAAACGAGACTGCTGATATTCTTATTTCACCAACTTGTTTGTCAATAAATTACCTCGTTTTAGAAATTGTTCATACGTAGAGCATGCTCTTGTGTATCGAATCAACTGAGAGATATAAACCCCGTATGCAGGTGATGAAGGTATATTGCTGCATAAGTAAGGGAAGTTGACGATTGAAAAGTTAAAGCATCACGTTTATCATAAAGCTTTGTTGTTAGATTAGCATTAATGTCTTTTTGTATTAAAATATCCAAATAAGAAACAGATGTGTCAGACTCTGTGGTATTATCTTCTATTTCAAGCTCACTGGGATATATCAAGTCGACATATGAATGGAAATAACTATTGCTAATTGACAATACGTCATCGATATATCTAATTGTCGAGTTGAAGGCCACAGCATGAGATTTCTTTTTCTCGTGTATAAGATTTTGAACAAATTCTGCTTCATATGAATACAAGAATAGGTCTGCTAATAACGGGACGCAATTGGTACCCAATGGAATTCCAATAGATTGGAAGACCTGGGGCTCGTTTCTCAAAAAGTCGTAGATTTCAGCCTAAGTTGGTCCGACTAAGGAAGTTACGCCAAAATTTAGACGGGCCTAAATCGCGTTTCAGAAAACGGCGTAAGACTAGGCCTAAGACTAAGACCTCTCCGCTAAGTACTAAGCATGCGCAGATCGTATTTTATTTGGTTTAGAGACTACAATTACATGTGGCGGATCAAATTAATATTGAATTTAAACCTAAATACAGAAGTAAAGCACGGATAGCACTAGTGCGCGTGCATGTTTTCTCTATTCGCCATCTTTCAAACATACATGTATAAATTATGCAAATCAATCTGTATACATATTTTCAAGGTTACAGCATAAAAATTAAATTACTATTTTTGTACCCTCAGATAAATTTTAAAAAATCTTTATGGGTACAAATTACATTAGAAAAACATAAACATGCATGTACTCCATTGTGATATACAATCGTACATTAAAACCCAGACTTTGTACATAGCATACGTACTTGCGAAAAATTGGAGTACATTTAGCATAAAGAATTTTACTGAAGTAAATTTCTTTTGAAAATAAGCCATATTGTCTTTTCACTTATGTTTTACATTAAGATAAATACACATAAGGTAGTGGCAAAGGCCTGGAACAGGTTCGTAGCAACGGTTTCAAAAGTTGAGGACCCCCCCCCCCAAAAAAAAAATCATTAACTGTCCAAGTCAAAAACCTAATTAACTGTCCAAGTCATGAAAATATGGAATTTATCAGTGATCGACCTTACAGCTACAAAATCGGATGGGGGGAGGGGTTGGCACCAGCATCTGAAGGAAAATTTAATATAGCAAATACTACACTCAGAAAAAGTGGAGGGCCGGGGCCCCCTGGTCCCACCGCGTTCTACGGACCTGTGGATAATATAAAACAATTATGAAATCATATATTATTAAAATATGGATAAGAGATTTTTGGAAATTTAGTAGTTGTATTGAATTTATAATTTCATAACAATCAATTCTAACTGAATTAAATTTCTTGGCATTCAAACTGATACATGTATTACACTTTGGACATACAGTATAACATTGATATCGATATGATAATTTACACAGTCCATGTAAAAATACGCATATACAACATTTCCATTAGCACACACATTCTCAGTAAAGGTTTGCAAAAGCTTAATTAGTCAATCGAGTATTTTTAGTTTATCAATAATATAAAATATATATGATAAATAGTTAATTAATTTCTTCTAATCCATATTACAGGCAAGCAGTCTAGTATTTTTTATAAATTTCTGAAATATTTTCATTTAATAATTTCCAGTCGGGATCAGATTTATTTAGATCGGGAACGGTACAAATTTCAACATCACCATCTTTTTCTTTTAAACCTAGTAGTTCCGTTTCAATTTCTATTAAGAATATGATCATATTATATTTACATTTTTCAAATATTTTTCCTCAACATCTTTTGCAAATTAAAAAAAGTTCATGATCTCATGGACTACCGTGGGATGAGTAAGAATATTTCCATTGTGATGTGATTAAAGTCAACTATTTTAATGCAAACTTTGTTTTCTTTCAAAAATGATCGTTGAATGACAAAAATATGTGGCAAGTCATCAGAAAAATAATGTAAATATAAGATATGAATTTAATTTTTGCGAATCCATGAGGCACATGAACTTCACCGCTTCACGCCTGCATATTTATCATGAAGCGCTAACGCGCTTCTCGCCGGCGTACGCGTGAAGCGTCGTAGTTCATGTCCTCATGAATTCTCAAACACTCTCAGTTCTTAAACACATGTATTTCTTTTATAGATGCAGAATGTTTCTTGAAGATTGCATCTAGATATAATGATATTAACAAGTCATGACTTCCATATTCATAAATATTTTTAGATAAGCAAAATTTCTTCTTCTTGATACGTTTTATGAGTATAATGCATTAAATAACAGAAAAATTTGAAACTGTTTCTCATTTACAATAAAAAAAAACATGTTTAATACGTTATTGACCATTTTCTTTTCAAATGCATGTAATATAAAGTGTTTATCTGTTCATAAATCGATCAAAAGACACTCTCAAACAAAATTCGTCTGACAAAAGTACGATAGATTGTAAATTAATTAAAAACAAGTACCTGTTTAAAAAATAATGATAGACCCATCTGCACGCCTTATATGCCATGACAGTTACTCCTTTGAAATAGGAAAAAACACTACTAAGGACAAGATAATTAATTACTGGAACATTTTACAAATTCATATTTTTCTGTTCTATAAACATATTTAATTAAAGGGGAAATTAAAGTAAAAGGTGTATTAACTTAATTTATGGCATAATTACCGAATATTTCTTTTTATTGAAACTATATTAAATGTATATTGTTTGAGTTTTTTTTCAAAAACATTATCTATTTCAAAAATAACACATTATCAGGGACCCAGTTGTGTGTGTGTGGGGGGGGGGGGGGGGAAGGTAATTGAGTAACCAAGATATTCAGCAAACTTCTACAGTACAAGAAATCAAATACTGACAGTGTAGGTCAGCCTAAATTACAACTTAATTTTTAACACAAAACACCATTACTGGAAAAAACGGGAAGGTTGCAACCCCCTCCCCCATACTACGCCTGACTGTTTTTTTTAAACTCGGGTACTTCTTAATATCTTACCCAGTTTCATAATTCAAAATTCTTACAAATTTCTAGCTCATCAAACCTTTTTACGGAAAAAGTCTGCATCCTCGCTGGATTTTACTGCCTTTCTATTTACCTACATAATAATTGTATATTTCACGATTTTTCGCATATCATATATGTAACTGAATAGGTATTTTATCTTATAAGTACAAAATGATTATTTTTGTTATCTCTTTTTGATCGAAACACTTGCCACTTTTTTCAAGTTG